TAATTTGAATATTGACTGACGGTGGCTACAGGAAAAAAGTCTGCAGGAAAATTCCCCACCCGGCTTCCCTACGGTTTCCTTACTTCCCTACTTTATTTGGGATTGCAGGATACCGTCTCCAGCTCCGTTCTCAGGAGTGAGGGGAGAGAGAGAGAGAGAGACTTTTGGCTTCATGCAAGGAAAGCAGCAGAAGCAGCGGAAGTCTTTCTTTCTCTCCCCCAAACTCCGCCAGAAATGAGTCTGTGTGAGACTTGTCGTGCCGGCGCAGCCTCTTGGAGCAGGAGGCCTTGCAGGGTCCCAAAGTCTCATTTCTGTCGGAGTTTGGGGGAGAGAAAGAAAGACTTTGGCTGCTTTCCTTGCGTGCAGCCAAAAGCAGGAAAAGAAAGAAGCGGTGGCCAGGCCAGGCGTGTGAGGCGAGTGGGATAAGTCCCCCCCGTCTGCCCTTCCCCCCTCCCGTCACTACCTCGTGTTGTTCGCAATGCAAGCCACGCAAGCCTTGTGTTCCCACGGGCCATGTGGGCAGCGCAGCCTTGTGTTCCCACACAGCCTGGATTAATTGCTTTGCAGAGGGACGACATTTCTCTTTGGACCACCAAAATTTTCTCGCGGACCACCAGTGGTCCCCAGCCAGCTGGTCGGCGACCACTGATCTAGTCCAACACCTGACCAAGCAGGAGACCCTACATCTTTCCAGACAATTTGCTCTTCTTAAAAGCCTCCAGTGATGCCTCCAAGCATTCACAACCTCTGCAGGCAAGCCGTTCCACTGGTTAATTAATTGTTCTCCCTGTCGGGAAATGTCTCCTTAGTTCTAGGTTGCTCCTCTCTTTGATTAGTTTCCATCCGTTGCTTCTTGTCTTGGCCTTCCAGTGCTTAGGAAAATAAGGATTAGCACAGGTGCCTTGGGAGGCTCTCTGTCGATGCTCAGAGGCCTTTCTTCATGCCTCAAGCTTCCTTCTGCCTACCCTGGCATCTGAAACCTTAATGTTCTGCATGAACCTGGCGGAATGGTTGGGGCCTGCAGCAATGCGCTCATGAATTCAAAATGGGGGCGGGGGAGGAGATTTGAAGGTTTCTATGAATCCAGCTGTTCTTTCTGGGTTCCTGTTGCCCTTCCAACCCCCCCAACCCCCCCCCCCCATTTCCTTCTCCCTGTTTTCATGGAGTCTCCCTTGTCTGTCATCTCCAGCCTGGTCAAGCTTCAAAGGGCACGCTCATTATTTATATGCTAATGGAATAAACACGAGCTAGCCAGGCAGATTATTTTAATTAGGAGAGCGGCTTTTATGTGCAGGAAAAAATACTTCTCCGTGGCTGGCTGGCCGGCCTTTTTGTTTTAATGGAGAGTTTTCCGCAAGGGTTTTCACTCCACCCCCCCCCCCCCCCCCCCGTTGAATTTGGGCCAGGTGTGGCTCTGTAGATACTTTGAAGGTCCGGAAAAAGAGAGAGTGGGAAAATAAATTTGGACAGGTAGAAGCATGAATTTAAACCAGAATTTGCAAGTGGCAAAAGATCCATTTAAGAAAGAGTCCGCTACACCGAAGTGATCTGGTTCTAAAGGGAACTCACCTGTGGACAAAATTAAATTTAATAAAATAATCAAATCCCTCCCCTGCAGCCTCCCAAAAAAACCACACTTTTTAAAAGAACCTTAATCTTAAAACGGAGCCATGTGTAAAGTGAGGGCTTGGGAAGCCGAGCCAGTGATCCTGGAGCCAGCCTTTCCAAAATGCTAGTCCTCAGTGTCCATCTGTCAACAGAACCTTATTTTAATGGCATATATATGCAAGTATGTTTTGGGCATAGTATGCAGACGCTTGTATCCCAGCCTTCTTGCAGTGACTTCAGGATTGTTGTGTTTAAGGAAGCCTCTCTGTCTTTAAAGGGTGGTCGTAAGTTGAGGATCACCTGTATTTCAGGATTATTTTCCAGCCTCTGATTTGGTTGGATGGCTGAGCAGAATAGACCAGCCTCCCCATCCTACCTGTGCCCCATGGGTATTGTAGTCTAATATTTCCTGAGAAGACTGGATTAAGCTACTGTGATTGGCCTTTTTTTAAAAAACATAATAATAATAATAATAATAATAATAATAATAATAATAATAATAATAATAATAATAATAATAATA